CTCCCTGCACCTGCTGGCGGGGCTGTAGGCGCCACAGTGCTCAGTCAGCAAATGTCTATCTTTTTGTAAAATTATAAACAACATGTATTACTTATGTGTCATAATATGTAACTCATTTGTTCAAATGATAGTCAAGTTTGGGACCAGATGGTTTTTCAGAAGCGTTCACATATAAATCATGCTATCTTTTCATTTTATTCCTATAGGCCTCGACTTGATTTGACAGCCTGAGAACAGAAGTGGATACATTTTTAAAGTATTCAGTATCTGACATTTTGTTTTTCTCCAACCTCTTATTATGGAAAACTTTCAAACATCCAGAGAAGGGGAGCACATGCACAACTCCTCACCCTGTCCCCACCTGCCTCCAACCACTGGTTTTGTCCCACCAACTTCGTGAGCTGTATTGTTTTGCTGAGTCATCTAAAAACAAATTTTAGACATCGAGATATTTTATCCTCAATAGTTCTCCCAGAAATAAGGCCGTTCTTCCAGACGAGCATCGTGCTGTTGTCATGACCAATTCACACTCCCAGTGAGCCCATGACATCATTGAACACTCCCTCCATTCTGAGATGTCCTCCTAGTTTGTCAGGTCCATGCTGGTCGTCAGAAATGCTGCTTCTTTTTGGCTGTTTTTGTACAAGAACCAATCCCACCCTTTTCAGGACGTTGATCTGTTGGAGGGATGTCAACCACCTGGCCCTCTGCACCCGTCTGGTCCTCTCTCCCAGTGTGGTGGCCCAGCAGCTCTATCCCTTCTCCTTCCTGCAAACTGGAAGTGAGAGCTACAGGCTTGGCCTTTGGTTCAAGTGAAGTGTTTTTAGTAGGAACACAGCCTCGGTGGTTTCAGTGGTTTCATGGGCTGGATTTTGCATCCCCGGAGGTGGGGCCGGTTCAGCCCAGTGATGCAGAGTTTGAGTCCCCGTGAAGGTGCTGACAGATGTCTCCGGTGGAAGTGGAGAATATTTTTTCCTTCCCAGGTAGCACTGTGTGATCGACACAGTTTCACGCTGCCTCGTCCTACACAGTTATTCATTGCGGGAAGAATTCGGAGCTCCTAGTTCCTCCATTCCTTCTACATTTAAGAGCTGGCATCTACAAAGAGCTTTCCTTGGTTAATCAATCAGGGAGGCAGAGGGGGAGACTTTTATCCAACAGACTCATCAGGAGGGAGGCCTGGTCTCCTAGAGAGAAGTAGGGAGAAAATATGGTCTTTAGGGGCTCAGAGCCCAGCATCTGAGCTTGAAAGCCCAGGGAGAGAGGAGAAGGAGGGGTGGGACCCTGCTTCATTGAGAGGGCTGTTGTGGGGAGAGCACTCATGAGGAGAATCTTTGGGGGAAAGAAGTGTTTTTGTAAAAGGATTTTCAAGAATGCCTCTATGTCCGATCCTCGATCCTCATGTCTCCCTTGGGGCACCTGCATAAAAAGTCCTATTGTGTTTTAGTGTTCCCAGAGTCCTGTTCTGAGGCTGGTTTTGGAGGCATCCCCAGACCTCAGGTCGCCCTGTTCAGTCTGGATTTCAGAACCTCTCCAGTGAATGAAGACAGGGCGCCAATCACAGTGAACTTCAGGCAGTCACCAGTAGTTAATTTTACATTGCACAAAGCAACTAGTTGAAAGAATTATGGATGACCCGACTGACCGGTCAGGTGTAGACATGGAGGCCAGGACGCTGTACTGTCCCCTGGCTCTGGTGGGTGGCCAAAGCAGCAGCTATCTATTTCCCTTTGCTTGGCTTGAAGCTGAAGGGGGCAAGCACCCTCCCACTTGCAGTTTGGGATGAAGTGGTTTCCCAGGGCTTGCACAAGACACGCTGAGTCAGTTTGGAAGGCCTCCCTGCAGACGGGGCTTCCAGCAGGTCAGGCTGACTGGATTAAGTGGCAGCAAGGACAGGGCAGGGTCAGCGGTCCTCTGAGCCCCAAGGGGAGGCCAGAACACTGCAAGCACTCCAGCTCACATAGTCCAGGGCTCGTGTTTCTCAGTGGGGAAAACACACAAAAGCCAGCCAAGTGCAAAACATGCCAGGCGCCATTAGGGCTCAAACCCGCCCCAAATAAGCATTTGCTCTCAGCTGTGGAGGAAGGTGGGACAGGACTCCTTCCCAGGGAGCAGGGAGCCCCCAGATCTGGGACAGGAACCTGAGGGAGACCCTTTCCCACATCCTCCCTCCTCCCTCCTGGGACCCCTGGCCCGGATCCTGTCTGCCCAGGGAGGTGCACCCTTGGGTAGGTAACAAGCCTCAGCTTCCCTCCTCCCCCTACTCCCCCCCCCCCAACCCCCGTCCTAGGAGTTTCCAGGGTTGGTTGCTGTTTGTTCACCTGGCCTTCACTTTCCTTCTCCAACAGAAAATTCTGTAGTTTAGTTGTCTCCTTGGGTATTCTGGGGAAGCACTTCGTCTGGACTACTTCATTCATCCAGGCAGGAGGGTGCAATGTCTTTGTGGACAGCAGCCCCTGAGAGCTGGGTGACTGTGTGTGCAGGGCGCCTGGGGTCCACAGCCAGGGCAGGACTGAGGAGGGTGCCACATGCTAGCCCGGGAGCCAGGAGTCCACTCACCAGCCAGTAGCCACTAGCCCAGGAGCCAAGGGTCAGCAACTTCAATGGAAATGATCCAGATCACTGCCATGGTAACGATGATGATGATGATCATCATCACCCACGGAAACCCCTCCTGTGAGCACTGCAGGTGCCTGGCCCCGATCTAGCCTCAGGCCAGTTGGAACCTACATCCCACCCACCTCCCCTGACAGGCCAGGTCCTGAGACCCCCAGGGTCCGCTGCCAAGAATTCACCCACCCCAGGGCCAGAGGCCTGCCTGGGGCAGGGGCTTGGACGAGCTGCACCCTGAGGGCACTGAGGAGGGGACAGGAGGGCACGGGGCGCGGAGTAGGAATGGCGAGTGGGGGGTGAGCGCAGGCCAGGGGGCGGGAGGACGGGGCGGGGGAGGAGACGAGGGGAGGGGCGAAGGAGGTGGGCTGCAGAGGAGATGGGGACGGAGGCGGAGAGAAGAGGACGAGCTGGGGAGGCGGGGGTCAGGGGAGGGGCGCTGGGGACCGGCAGGGCGGCGGGCGGGGGGAGCACCGGGAGGTGGGGGCGCCGCAGGGGAGGGCGGGCCGGGAGCGGGGAGGGCCGGGGAGCTGCGGGCGGCGGGAGGAGCGCGGGCCCCGCCCCCAGCGCCGCTGGAAAAGTTTGAGCTCGGGCGTGTGCGCGCGCAGAGGCTGAGCCGGCGGGTCCCGGACGCGCGGTGGCGGGTCGCGCCCCGGCAGAGCCCCCCGCGCCACCCGCCCCCGCCGGCCGGCCGCGAGCGGAGGAAGGGCCTCGAGGATGCGGGCGGCGCGAGGACGCGTCCCAGGCGGCGGTGAGCTGCGGCCGGCCGGGGGCCCGGGGGTCCGCGGGGGGGGGGGGGGGACCGGGGGGGGCCAGCACCTCTCCCACAGTCCAGCCCGCCCCGGGTGACAGCGACCTGGCCGGGAGCCGTCCGCGCCCTGTCCCCGCCTGCCCCTGCCCCGGGCCACCCACCCCTGCGGCAGCCGCAGCCGGGCAGACGGGATGGTTCCCCTTTGCACGCGGGAGCGCGTCACAGCCAGGGGCGCGGGGACGGTTCCTTCTAACCACCTCCCGGGAGTCCAGACTGAGCGTCATCTTCCCATCCCCAGGACCTGCAGGAAAGAGAAGTGGCTCTTTCCAGAGAAGTCCCCTGGGTCCTATCCCTAGAGCGATTGAAAAGTTACGCGTCCTCCGGGGAAGAGGACCTGGGGGCTCTGGGACTGTGTGGCCGCGGTCGTTCTCCTGGGAAAACCATTCTTCTTCTTTTTTTTTTTTTTTTGAAAACCATTCTCTTAAACGATATTCTCCACATCGTCCCGTTCTTTCCCGTCTGTTTCTGGAAGTAGGCAATGAGGGCTGTCAGGATCGGGGCCGGAGGGTGACATCCCCACTTTGCAGTTGTGAGGTTCCGGAGGAAGGTCAGGGCGCTGTCCTCCCAGCTGAGACAAAGCCTGGAGAACGGCCGGGACTTGTCCTTCTTTGGCCTGATGCAGGAGACGGACGCTAGCTTTGCCACTTCCAGCCTCCCCGGCTCCAAATGGTCGGTCTCTCTCTCTCTCTCTCTCTCTCTCTCTTTCTCTCTCTTCTGGGGCTGGCCACTCTCGGTGACATGTTTCATTGTGGGTTTTTATATTTAGATGTAAGAGAGGGCCTTCTTGTTGGGGGTTTAAAGGGAACACGTTTTGTTAGGAAGATGAAGAAAAGGGAGTGGCATGAACACGGGGTCTCCTGGAAGATTATTTTCAAAAGCGGAAGGTCCACCCTGCACATGGTACCCACCCCCAGCTGGAGCCCTGAGCACTTCCAGAACTTCTTGCTCACGTCTGGATGTCAGAGGTTGCAGAGCCCACTCTGTATACCCACATCTTCATCATTCGTGTTTGCAACATTCTTTTCTTTTTTAGTGGCAATCCTGCGGGCGTAGTTAAGACCAGTGATTCCTAGAAGTCCCAAGGCAGGATTAGGTCCTGTGGGGTGTGACGGACAAGGGTGGCCATGCCCCTGGCTGGCGGTGGCCGTGGTGATGAGGGTGGTGGTGGTGTGTGTGTTGTCCTCGAGGAGTTGGTGGAAGTGTCTGGACCTGTAGGAGTTTTCTCGGAACTGATGCAGAGCTCTGTTCAGGTTGAATAATTCTGTGGCCCTAGGAGGACCACACACTGGGCTTCCTCAGTCAGCAGAGCTTCACATCCGGCCTGCCTGTCTGGTTGCTCTGTCACCTGACACCAGAGACTACAGGTCAGCCTTTAGGAGCAATTCCCCCACCCACCCACCCACCCCATAAAGATACGGCTGGGATGGCTTCTCAACAAGTTTCATCTTTGAAAATGCTGCTTTTGTCTTTGTTTCTGAATTTCATAAAATGCATGGCTGTCCTAATTTTCTACCATGGGTGCATAGTAGAAACTTGCATTTCCTGAAGAAGGAGCCTCCCGTGTTGGCCTCATAATATTCTCAAAATGTGGGGACTGATTTTCCGTTCTCTGGAAATTGTGACACTGATTTGACTCTGTGGTGTCTTTTTTTTTTTTTTTTTTCCATCCTCCTGAAGACACTTTGATAGCTACAGTGGATGTGTGTTTTTTTACGGTGGAAAAAGGAGACTCTGAGCATGCCAACATCTGAATATTTGTGAGTGTCCCTACAGTGAAGCCCCCTTTTCTTCTACAGGACTTTGTTCTGGGAGCCGGTGCTGACACAGCGGGCAGGGCCTTGGGGCACCCTCAGGCCTTCCGTGGTGGGAGCTGGAGCCGTGGGCCGTGCTTTCCGGGACCTTTCTTATCCCTCACACATGGCTTCCTCATTCCTGTCTTATCAGTTTGAAGCCACTTCTTATGATTTCTTTGCACCCATTTTCTGCTGAATTCATTAATTGCCTTATGAGATGTATCATGAGCTCTCGGAGGTAATAGGGTGTGCTTGGTGGACTCCATCCAGGTGCGAGAGTCCTGTGCTTCAGTTACGGTTATGACAGCGCCGGGCACGGTCAGTGTCTGTTCTGTGTTCTTTCCTCCTATTTTGGAGGATCTGCAGCTGCGCGTCTGTAGGAGGCTCGGCGGCAGGCCAGCTAGGTGAGCCAGGGACGAGACTGCCCAGTGGAGAATGTGGCCCCGCCGGGGGTGGCTCCGGCTTGCCCGTGTCTCCATGAGCTGGGGCAAGTTCGAGTGGCTCTTTGGCCCTGCAGACACCACTCCATCTCCCTGGTGTCGGTTTTCCATGTAGGTTGGCATTCCAGCATTTGGCTAGCCTGCTGGTGACACTCTTGTCACCTTCAAGTGAAGAACACTGAGAGGGGTGGACGCTCCAGAAGAGCTGACCCCTAACATGGTGCACGGGAATCAGATGACCCACATCTCCAGCCCAGCACCGCCTCCTCCAAGCTGTGTCACCAAGGACAGTGACCCCCACACCCGAGCCTCGGCTTCCCTCTGTGTACACTCAAAAGGCAGATGCTTCCATGGGGACCAGACATGGTACCCTGCAAGGTGCAATGTGTGCTGCGTTTGCTGTGTCGCTGTGGCACGGGGAAAGGGTGGGAGGGACCCCACCATTAGGACTTCTTGGCCAGGTGTCTCCTGTTTGCATAAGCCCTTCCCTGCCCAGAGGAGCTCATTCCCGCACACCTTCATTCATCCCATGGCAGTCTGGGCAGGAGTCCAGCCTGTGCTCTTAATTAGGATGAGCGGAGGAGGGAGAGTCTGAAAAGTCCGCTTGAAGAGCAGAGTTTAAGGCCTCTTGTATCCAAACCAGTTGCCTTGTGATGGTGGACAAGCCCAGGCACCCGGGAGAGTGGGCGCGGAGGCAGAGCCTGGGGCCTGTGCGGGGGTCCTGCAGCCCACCCCGGGTACGGAGCTCCCGAGGAGTGTGTGAACACCCATGCCCTACCTGCTGAGGAGAGTCACTTGTAGGAAAGCCGCCGGGTGAGTTGGTGGTGGGAAGCCTGCTCCTCACAGTGGTCTCACCAGGGCCCCGGGACTGGGCTCCCAGCAGAGGGCAGGCCTGCGGGGCTGTGCATGCAAGGCCTCTTGCCCGGAGCTACCTCTGACTGCCCAGCGAGGTCACCTCCAAAATCTGGGGGCAAGAGGAAGTACTCATTAGCGAAGGAATTTCCTGGGGCATCGAAATGACCAGCCCGTTATTTCTTTCCTAAATTCTTATAAACAACAACAACAAAATACTGCTTTCCAAGAAATCCGCTGGTTGGCAAATGGTTGGTGTTTTACTTCCGTCTGGAGGATAGTTGATTTCCCTGGGAAAACGTGCCTTTGACCAGCAGCACCCTGCGTCTGACCGGAGAAATGTCATTGTCTTCTCTTGTCTTTCTTGTTCACCACGATGGGGAGAGAGAGAAAGAGAGAGAGAGAGGGAGAGACCCCAGGCTTTTCAGAAATATTTCCCTTTACTTTCTTCATTTCCTTCTTTTTATAGTTTATTTTTAAAATTGACATGTGTCATGTGTAGAGAAAGTGAATCGCTAGTGCAGAGCGCACATCTGGAACCCATGGGGGGCCCAGGCTGCCCCTCCCTGCAGATGCACCCCCTTGGAACAGAGGGACAGAAACCCCGCTGGCGTGACACACAGTGAAGCTACCTTCTAGGTGCCTCTCCCGAGCGCCCGCGCCGCACAGCAGCTTCTAGGGCAGGCCTGGCGCTCCAAGATGTTCGGGGTCGAGCCCGCACACTGCCACCTTCCTCAGCATCAGCCTTTATTTCTCAGTTGTTGGGGGGAAATTATGCAGGATTGGAGTCTTAAAAATGAAACGTCAGATGGTGGTCACTGCCAGCCGCAGATGCTTAACTTTTAAAATAAAGCAAAACGTGAGCACTCACACTGTGTAAAACTTGCCCTTGTGGGGACTTGTCCAGGTGGCCAGTCTCTGCAGGGACCAGCTATGTCAGAGCCCATTCCCGACACCACCACGATGCTCGGAAAGCCAAACGACCCCGTGGGAGCACAGGTACAAGCTCACAAGGATGTCCCCACCCAGGCCCGGCAGTGCTTCCTAGGAAAATGATGTGCAGAAACCACCCTATGTCCATAGGCAAGAGTGGCTGGGGCATCCATCCCTTGACGGGAGCAGGAAGTGCCAGCATCCAAATGCACCTCCCTGTAGGACTCAAGGGAGCATCGTGCTGTTGGCAGAAAGATGCCAAGCACAGTCGGATGCTGTGGGACCCCATCTATGGGAAGGTCGGAAACAGCTACATATGGCCCTCGAGAGGGTGAGAAGCCCAGCCCATGACCCCTCTAGGGGTCGGTGGTGACTGGACGGGGCGGGACAGGCTGGCTCCCCAGGACTTGATGCCCCAGTGCCCTGCACTCCGCAGAACAGATGTGCCTGGAGGGCTGGTGTCCCACCTGCTCTTGCGCTCCGAGGTGGAGGGCGAGAGGGCGGAGAGTGTTCTTCCCGCAAATCCAGGTCCTGCCTCACCCCCTGAAAGGTGGGGCCCGAACTCTGTGATGCTTTTGACCACAAATAACAGCACTCAGATGCATCCAAAATCAATCTGGCCTTTAGCCCAGCACGTAACTCTCAGGATGGAGCCCGCGTTCTAATGTTGATAATCCAAAGAAAATAAGCTTTTAGATTCCAAAGGGAGCCAGATGTCTTCCAGTTATGAAAATGCAGCGAATAGCATTTAGCAAGAGATGCTCTGAAAAAAACAGGCTCTTCGAATGATGAATATTTAATCAAGGAAAATGATAAATTAAGCATTAGTGGGAAAAAACATTCACCCTCAAAATGCATGTTTTTGGTGGCTCTCTGGCACATCTTACACTATTCTCATTGTGGCTCTTGTATTGCTGGGTCTTGGCTTCACTTTTGGCTTGTTTTTCTGCTCTGCTCCGTTTTTTGTTTTGTTTTTTCAAAACCTGGCACGTGGGGAGGAAAAGAAACGGATGGGAGTCTGTGCAGCCCTTCACTTGCGTGTCCTCGCTCTTTACATCCAAGAGGTTCCAGATGCAGTGGGTTTATGGGGACACACGTCCCTTTGGTCGGTGCTCATGGCACGAGCATGGGAGTAGAGTGTGTGCCACGGGGGGAGCATCCACAACGTGGAGTCACCATGGGGGAAGCAGGCCCAGAAGACGAGGTTCACTTGTACTGTGGTTTCAAAACCTTTCAGATGTGGCTGCTTGGAGCCCTTTCTCACCGTCCTGGGTGTGAATTCACCAAAAATTCACTTTCCTCACCCTTTCAGGTCACACTCGTGTGTCTGCAGTTCAGACTGTGCGGGTGCTAACTCAGGATTATACCCCGTGTTAACCACATGCCCACCGTCCTTCCTAAGACAGAAGCCCCTGGCAGGGGAGCAGGTATTGTGGACACAGTGGCCCGTGGATGTGGGGCATATGGAGGCCTCGGGGCAGCCACGTCGACCCTCCACCGGCTGGAACACAGCCATTCTCCGGGCACTGCTCCCTTCTGACTGTCGGTGGGGTGGCCATGTGCTTCTCGCCCCTGCCTCTGTACTGCGCCTCTTCCATGGACAAGGATGCTCATAGGGCAGGGTCGGTCAGCCCTGTCTGTGTGGGGCTGGCTGTGCTCTGGGCTGTGCTGTGCCCAGGGCCCCGCGAGCAGAGGGGGGTCGTGCCAGCTCCATTCACAGCTCGCAGATAAGGAACCAGCAGACAAGCAGAGCATGTGTTGGGCTCCCATGAGCAGACAGGCGCCGTGAGAGGCGTGGGACACTCTGCCCCTGTGTGACCCTGAAGCAAGCCGCTCCAGGCGCTGGGCTCCGGGATGGTCAGCAGCGTCATTATTCCCGCTCTTTATTTTATTTTATTTTTTAAAGATTTCATTTACTCATGAGAGACACACAGAGAGAGAGAGAGAGAGAGACAGACAGACAGACAGACAGATAGGCAGAGGGAGAAGCAGGCTCCATGCAGGGAATCCGATGTGGGACTTGATCCCGGGTCTCCAGGATCACGCCCTGGGCTGAAGGCAGCGCTAAACCGCTGAGCCACCGGGCTGCCCTATTCCCGCTCTTTAAAGGACAGCCTGCGATCTGCCGTAAGAAGTGGCGAGTAGAGAAGTCTCGAGGGGCCGGGCTGACTCTCGAGGGGCCGGGCAGAGGGAGCCTGACTCGGGGCAAGAAGGCTTGGCCAGGGTTAGAGGAAGGTGCGTGGGGCCGGGGCGCTGGTGGGCCAGCTGCCCACCGAGCTGACCGTGCGCCTCCAGGGCACCTACCGGCACACACCTCGCAGGCATCCTGCACAGGCCACAGCCCACGGGCTTTCCGGAGGAGGCAGGGCCTGGGCGCCCCAGCACGTGGGGAGAAGTCCCTGCAAAGAAGGAGCAGAGCTGCCTTTCCTGATCTCAGAGAACCTGAGCCCAGGTGGAGGGGAGGGTGTCACAGCACCCCTGGCCCTGAGCAGTGCCTGTGGGGCAGCGACCTGAAGGGTGCCTGGAGCCAGGGCCCCGCGGACTCTCCTCTCCTCCTCATCCAACAGCAGCCACACACACTGTGCCCCGGGATCCTCCCAGGACCGAGCACCTCCCGGGCTGTACCCGAATCTGGCAGCGAGCTCAGATCCCAGCACACCCCAAGTGTGGAGCCCGTGTGTTTCCAAACCCAACATAGGGCTATGACTTAAACATCATGAAAGAAAAAAAAGTCACCACTGGATACTCTGCAGGCTGTTCTAAGCCGAGCTCATGTGCTCATTAGTAGATGTTTAAACAGAGGTTTGTAATTTAAAATCAGTGCATCCACTGGCAGCCACGTTCAGCTGGGATGGTGACGTCCCAGGTGATGGGTGTGGCCTCAGGTGAGGGTGGGAAGTATCGGAGGGGAGGGGGGCTTAAACCCGGGGCCACCAAGGGCCGGCGCCTGGCTTCGGGCCTTCTCCGTCTGCCTCTACCCCCAGCGGGGTCCTTTCTCTCTGCTCACGCACACGGCTTCAGTTCCGGGGGCGCAGACGGTCTGACCTGAGTTCTGGGTTTTCAGCCAAGTCCAGAGGCCAAGTGCTTGTCCCTGCCTCTCCTTCTATCACCCTTGGTAGAAGTATGGGCTCATGGCCCATCTGCCCCTCCCCACACTGCTGCCATCAGGGAACCGTGGGCCGTCGTGCCTCCCACTGCCCTGCCCTTGGTGGCTGCATGGCCCTGTCTCAGGCCTCCCCTGTAGGCCGTTGGGACCCCACTCTGTGTCTGGCCCTGGTCCCAGGGACGCCATCGGGGTGATGTTGCTCCCACAATGTTGCTCCAGGCTCACCACCCCGGGGGTGGCATTCTGGTTCCCTTCTATTTTGCTGTCCCAAGATGATCCCATTTGTCTTGGGGTAACGAGAATCATGGTTTGGCCGCTCCTGTGCTGTGGCGGAGGATGTACGGTCAGCGCCCCCAAGTGCCTTGGGATTCCCTGACAGACTGACGTGTATTTGGGTCTGTGTGTCATTGTTGTACGAGTGAATGACCACGGGTCTCACACACCGACCTCCCTCCCAGCAGGTGCAGACACCAAGTGGCTTCCTGCAGCCACCTCAGCCCCTGAGGAGCCATGGGCCCTCACATAAGCTGCCTTCCCCCAGCTGTGCTGCGGCTGCCCCCTGGGTGGTCTTAAGCCCTCGTAATCTCTGGGCACCCCACTTTTATCTTCGCAGCCCCCTGCTCTGCACGCCCCGGCTGGGGTCCCGCCACCGCCCGGGCCACCCCGGAAGCCTGAGCCCGCGCCTGTTCTCTGGATATGGATGTGCCCAGGGCGCCCTCTGCTGGGATCCGGAGCTGAGCCGCTGCGCGCCCGAGCGATGGCCACAGTCGTCCCGCCGCGCGCCAGGCCCTCTCCCGGGAACGAGACCGAGACCCTGCATGAGCACTACAACTACGTGGGCAAGCTGGAGGGCCGGCTGAGGGAGGCCCCCGAGGGCAGCATGCCTACCACCGTGCTGTTCCTGATCATCTGCAGCTTCATCGTGCTGGAGAACCTCATGGTTCTCATCGCCATCTGGAAAAACAATAAGTTCCACAACCGCATGTACTTCTTTATCGGCAACTTGGCCCTCTGTGACCTGCTGGCCGGCATCGCCTACAAGGTCAACATTCTGATGTCGGGCAAGAGGACGCTGAGCCTGTCTCCCACGCTCTGGTTCCTAAGGGAGGGCAGCATGTTCGTGGCCCTCGGGGCGTCCACCTGTAGCTTGCTGGCCATTGCGATTGAGCGGCACTTGACTATGATCAAAATGAGGCCGTACGATGCCAACAAGAAGCACCGCGTCTTCCTTCTGATTGGCATGTGCTGGCTCATCGCCTTCTTGCTGGGCGCCCTCCCCATCCTGGGCTGGAATTGCCTGCACAACCTCCCCGACTGCTCCACCATCCTGCCCCTCTACTCCAAGAGGTACATCGCCTTCTGCATCAGCATCTTCACAGCCATCCTGGTCACCATCGTGATCCTGTACGCGCGCATCTACTTCCTGGTGAAGTCCAGCAGCCGCCGGGTGGCCAGCCCCCACAACTCGGAGCGGTCCATGGCCCTGCTGCGAACCGTGGTGATCGTGGTCAGTGTGTTCATCGCCTGCTGGTCCCCACTCTTCATTCTCTTCCTCGTCGACGTGGCCTGCAGGGTGAAGCAGTGTGCCATCCTGTTCAAGGCCCAGTGGTTCATTGTGCTGGCGGTGATGAACTCGGCCATGAACCCCGTCATCTACACGCTGGCCAGCAAGGAGATGCGGCGGGCCTTCTTCCGGCTGGTGTGCACCTGCCTGGTCCGGCGCTGGGGCGCCCGCTCCTCACCCACCCAGCCCGCTCTCGACCCCAGCAGAAGCAAGTCCAGTGGCAGCAACAACAGCAGCCCCTCACCGAAGAGCAAGGAGGACCCTCCCCAGATAGCTGCCTCGCCGTGCATCATGGATGGGAACAAAACCCTGCAGAACGGGATCCTCTGCAAGTGAGCATGGCCACCTCCAGGAATGGCCATCCCCACATGTCCATGAGACAAGAGGCGCTCAGCTCCCAGCCACGTTCTTATTTATTGCATGCGTCACCCCCAGGGGTTCTGGAGCTGGCACTCGGGAAATCTGTTTGCCCATGCGTGGCCCATGTGGTGTAGACGTCCCAGGAAGAGGGGGACCCAAGGACTCGCCGGCCTGTTTCACAGTAGACAGCCTGCCTGCCTTGTCCGTATTGGCGTGAGTCTTCCAAACCTCCAATCTGCCACCTTCCCCTGAATCCCACGGGAGGGAAGGTCGTGGGCCACGCAATGCGCAGTGTGCTTCCCTGAATGTCATGGCAATTTCTGGTAACTTCACACTACATGGACCGCGCATACTGTGGATGCTGGCGTGTTCATCATTTCTGTGTCACGCAGCGCTCGGGTTTCTGACGTCCACCACCATCGGGATACAACACCTGTTTCTGCTGTAGGCAGCAGGACGTGGCACGGTGTCCTGACTGAACCACCAGGAGCAAGGCTGAGGCTGGCAATTAGCCGGACATGCCCATCCCCATCTCCTCACACTGACACCGAGTCTCGTGTTCAGCGGGCTTTGAAAAAGGCTGCTCTCGGGTGGGTCTCAGGTGCGTGGATCTGACCCTGACAGTGTCCAAAGGACCCTGGGAGAGTGAGAGTGCTCTGAGAGCTGCATCCCCGCCTCTCCCCAGGGCTGTGTCCCTGCAGAGACTTGAACACATCCCCCAGCCCCGTTACCCACATTATGTGACTGGTGACCCTCCAGATCTCAGAAAAGCCCACCAGGGGCTTCCCAGAGGCCATCCCTGGGCCAAGCAGAAGAGCCCAGAAGGCAGAAGCGGAGGACAGACACCCTGGCCAGAAGAATGGTATGTTTGATGTGAGGAAAAATTTGTACGGAATTGGGAGAGGCTGACAGGCTGCACTTGGGTCCTATTTGGAGCCTGGTCCCCTCTAGCCAGAGAAGCACCAGGTCAGTAGGACCGAGTTGTGTGCTCTTCCGGGAAATGTAGTGATGCTGTAGGTAACGATATGGGGTCAGCTGACCCTGCATCCCCATCCCCGCATGTAGGGGGTTCCTCAGGAGGTGTTTGTGCATGAGGAGCTTCCCTCAGGGATCCCACCTGCAGGACACACCAATGAGGACGTGCACACGTGTGTGGAGATCTCACACCCACAGAGTTCACGTGTCAGGCTCTTGGCCAAACACAAAACAGGCAGCCTTCAAAAGGACTCTCACATCAGAGCCCCTGAGGCTTTCTGGTTTGCCGGGCATTTCGGCTGAGTCAAGACTCCAGAGACACCTTGACACGTTAACCGTCTGGAGGAGACACTGCTGGCTCCTGCGTGTTATCAGATAGATGCCCATGCTCCCAACCGAGGCACATTCCTGTGGGTCCTGGGGGATCTCCGTGTCCTGACCAAAGACTTCCCTCGTTTCTGTGACTGATGAGAGAAGGGGATGCTCATTGGTGGCACTTTTGTTGGCTTCTTTACGTCGCTGGAGAGGGGTGTATTCTCGGGTCAGACAGCATGTCTAGAAAAGTCAGGCATCAAGAAGACACAGCAGGGAGCACTGCGTGTTCACCTAGGGAGTGAAGTGACCACAGAGCTCAGGGTCCCTGGGGGTTCCTGGGTCTTCAGTGCTCATATTGGTGACAATTACTCCTTGATCCCGACTTCCCATTGCGAGAACACAAAACTTGCAAACAGTCTGAGTGGAAAAACCCAAAGGAGTAATCGTGTGCATTCAATACATGCAGAAAATGATCGACTTTAATAGCAGCATGTACAGCCTGTGCCAACAGCTGCGGGTCATTGAGGGGTTGAGTTTCAAAGCCACGTAGAACATATGCATTAGATCTCTTTACTGTGTCCCGTGTGTGTTTGTTTAAAAAAAAATAAATAAAACCAAAAGCCTGCTTGTAAACCTGTCACTGGAGGTTAGCATGGGGGGTTTGTCTGCACCAGGGGTGCAGGGTGGCGGCCTGGCCTCCCCCATGGTGCCGGCATTCCCCCAGGACTGAAGCCACCCTGGGAACCTGGGGACTGTGCCTCCTGCACTTCCCTCCGACCCCAGCATAGCTGGTGCCCAGGGAAGGGGAAGCTTCGGGGTGTCAGGTTCTGTAGGCCCGAGTGTTTACAGGGGGATGAGCTCTTGGATGGGGGGATTACGAGTCCTGGCCGATGGTTGGTTCTGCTCCATTTGCAGCAGGAGGGAGTTGGTCAGAAGCGGCCCATTGCCCAGCACCCTAGGTGACAGAGGGAGACTTCTAGCCTGTGAGTGCATGTGTCTGTGTGCATGTCCATGTGCATGTGCATGTACATGCATGTCCATCCCAGAGTGAGGCCTGCATTCGCCATAACTTGTCTGGTCTGATGTTCATGGAGAAATCTCACAGCCCTGGCGAGGTCCACAGCCTGCCACCACCCTGGACTGTGCCCCAGGCCACCAGGTAGCCGTGACCCCCACCCTGCCAGCTCTGCTGCTGCCAGGCCCCCCCGCCCCCAGCACCATGGGCCAAAGGGTGAAGCTTGGCAGGCGACCAGGGTGTCTGGGGATGGCAGGGTACCCACTCCCTATGGGAAGGTCCCGACCTGCCCTCCCCGCCCTCGTGAGGCAACACAAGGTCCACCACCCACGCACGAGACTTTTTACACAATCCTTTATTGCTCACAGTTACACCGACGATCATTGAAACAGTGAACCAGAGATCTCGGCTGCTTCTCTGCACCCCTGACCCGGGGGAGGGGGGCGCGGGTTCTGCGCTGGTAAGGAGCCTTTCACAGACACGGAACAGGGCGCGTGGGATAAAAACGTCTCAGAGTCACCAAGTCCATGCTTCAAAATTGTCTCCACGAGGACAAAACCTCAACACCCAAATGTTTCTTCGTATCGAAGTCAAAACATCAAAGGGTTTGCTACAGAGTCAGAAATGCACACACCATGATCCCCAAAATGAAGGCACATTTTCTGCTAACTAGTGAGAAGGACAAGGGTGGCATGACCCACACGAGCCCCGGGCGACGGAGGGGACCCTGGGGGACTCCACGCGGCCCCTCTGCTTGGCGGCCGCCCCCAGGCGCATGGGGGCCCTGACTGAAGCCGCATCACTTCCTGAAGGAGTGAAGTGGGTTCGCCGAGGGAAGGAAGCCGTGGAAGCCGCCGCCCTCCCCGCCGAGCTGTGGAGCCTCTGCTCTGTCCCCCAGACACAGTTTGGGCGTCCCCAGCTTGCACGGAACGGCACATGGAAAGCTCGAGATCGGTTTGGTAATTCCGCTCCCTGGAATCCAAATGCCGTCCCAGCATCCACGCGGAATAAAGTGATGAATCAGCAACATCCCCAGACGGACAGACACCTTCCCGGCAATCCTTATTTGTTCCACAGAAGTTGATGGAAGACAGAACACAAAATTTTCAAATAGTATTTATCAGCAGATATAACTTTGCCATCCAAATACTCATCAAAGAGTAAGAAACATCGTGACACGTGAAATTCTACACGGAGTTCCCTCCTAATCCTTGGATTTTTAACATCAGATGTTTAATTCTGAATGCACAGAAACATCCACATACTTCATTTTTAACAATATTTATTCTGGAACGAGTTTTATTCAAAAGGCAAATGAGCAGAGAACATTCCACTTGCCACCGACACACGGTCATTACAGAAAAAGCTAATTCAGTGTTCAGGGATGGATATGCCCACAGATGTTTCTGCTGTGTTGATGGCTGCTTAGGTAGAAAATCTGGTTGTGGGAGAAATGTCCCGTGTGAGCGCGAGCTGTCGGCTGTGGCACACAGGACCACTTGCGGATTTCTCCCCACTACGTTGCATGGGGAAGCAACCACACAGGAAGTGACCTAGTGGAAGCCTGAGGTCTGGTGCTTTCCCTGAATGACAATGGTCCTCCCAGCCCTCCAGAAGGTGAGGAGCCAGAAGGAGTCCTTTGTTCTCCGCGCCCCACCCCCCACACCCCCTGCCCTGCCTTCCTCCCACCTGCTTCCCAGCTCCTGAAACCTGCAGACTCCCCAGGCCCATCTGGGAGCCCCGGCCTCCCTCCGTGGCCCTGTTGCACTTGACCACGCCAGCCATCAGGCTTCTCGCACTGTCACGCCCTGTGCATGTCCACTTCCTACCAGGAGCCCAGCACCATGCCTGCCACACAGGAACCAACGCACAGACAAGGCCAAGAGGGGGCTGGCCGGAAATGCCTACAAGCCAGGCAGCGCACATGGCTGTGCCCAGGCAGACGCTGACGCCCAGTGCACGTGCTGGGGACAGCTTCTCCACGCTGGCCCCTCTTGTCATTCCTCTCTGTCCTCTGACACATGCTGCATGCTGCCAGGTGGAAGCAGGATGTGAGGCTGGACTTGCTTGTCCCCAGACCCTCCTTGTCTCCCTCCTCCTGCACCGTTGCCCTCTTGGCCTCATCTTCCCCTGCTGCCCCTGTATCACCTCCACAGTGGCCCCCCACCTCCGTGGCCCTCCTGTCTGCTCCTGCTCCCTTTGCAGGTGGGTCCCACATCCTACAGCATCCAGGAGCCTGCCCCCCACCCCCCATGTCTGCAGGGGCCAGGACCCGCAGTCCCCAAATGCTTCACATCTGTTTAACTTTCTGCGTGTCCTTCTTGGTGAGAAATACCGAAGCGCGGGGAGGAGTGTTGAGGCGCAAGCCTCATGGCCAGGCTGCATGTGCACACACACAGGTGCACACCCGTCACAATCAGCATAGGTATGTGTGCATGTGCGCAATTGACATTCAAAGTCCTGGTATAAAATTGCAGTTTTCCTGGCTGCTATAAAATGTGCCAGTTTTAAAACTGTGCATTTGTTGCTTGCAAACTTATAAATATGTATAAACCCCATTATAAATAAATTGTGGCTGGCAGATGGCATTTTATCTGCCAGCAGTGATTGCATGGAGTTTTAAATGCTTATTAATCCTCCACTTTTAAAACTCAGAGCACAGACTCTGGGCTCCATGACATGAGGTGGTGGGAAAACACAGCCATAGTTTGGCGGGGGGGGGGGGGGCGGGGGGGGGAAGCCCTCGGCAAGCCATAGTTTGGCGGGGGACCGCACCTGGTGGTGGTCCTCAAAGTCCACACTTGCCACCAGCATTGCCCAGTTTACTAGGAATGCAAATTCCCGGGCCCTGCGCAGACTCCTGGGGTGGGGCCTGTGGGCCCCTTGCAGACCCGCTTAGCCTGCAGGCCCGCTTAGCCTACAGGCCTGTCCTTCTGCCCAGGATCCCCAGCTCAGGTGTGCACAGGGCCTGTTCCCCACCCGCAATGGGCCAGTGGCTAGACGCTGCTGGGTGAGCACTGACATGTGCCCGGGCCTGTCTCCTGCTGTCCCTCAGAGCCTTGGTGACCTTAGTCTTCTACATGGTGGTGACTTGCCCTCTTGGAGTCTGTCTCTGAAGAGCCCAAAACACTTCCTTGTCCATGTAGGACTCCCGTCTTTATATATTTTGCAAAAAGAATGAGCATAAATGCGAACCCAACGAGGAGGGAACTGCTATGTGTCGTTCTCTACCAGGGGCTGAGCTTTATACGCGAACTGTAAAGGACCCTAATAAGTTCTATGCTCCTAATTGTCACCACACTCCAGCGGGTCACCTGGCCTCAGGTGCCCCACTGAAAGGGGCTTCTGCAGCTTCACAATCCTCTAACATTCCCTTGCTGATCATCTTCTGGGGGCCCCCGGCACACCCAGGTTCACAATACCTTCCTGTAAAGTGGTTTTTTCCAATTCATCATTCTCAGGACCCATTTTTAAAGTTTCACTACAGAGCCAGATATTATCCTAAAACTCATGACCAAAATTTGTCTGTGACATACCATGACCCAAGTGCAGTATTTCCACAATCTCCGTCCCCTTTCCAATCAGCCTATCACACTGCCCACAGAAGGGCTCAAATGGACCCCAGGTGTGCTACGTATGCGGGCAGTGAGAGAACCATCATGCCTGTGCATGCAGCATCCTGGGAAGCACCTGTCCTTCCTGTTTCTGTCCTTTAGCTGGCACCTCCCGCTCCATCTCACAGCAGCGGGGTGCAGGTGGCCGGCCACCGCCCAGAGACACCGAGCAACAAGCGGGTGGCCACATGGCTCTGACAAAGGCCTGTTTTCTCGCAGGAAATGCCTCCACCTAGGGACCCATTCAGGCAAAGAAGGACCAGGACATCAGTTTGTACATGTCACTTATGTGAAGGAGCCACCAGGCATCGGGCAGCACCTGAAGGGAGCGCTCCATCTAAGGAGCCCAGGATGGCCGGAGCCAGGAGGCAGTGGCGAGCATCGGAGCGCAGGCACTTGGGGGCCACCCTAATGGCTGCCCTGCCCACTCCTCCCAAGCCAGGCCTTGCCCTTGGCACAGGCTCTGTCTCTCCTGCCTTCGTGGGGCATCACCCGTGCTGCCTTCCTCCTCATGACCCCTTGGGACACCAAATGTCCTGCACCAGGGCTCCTGTCCACCCAGTCTCCCAAGCCCCCGAGACAGCGCTAAACATATGGTTGTTCAAATGAAACCCAGGTCACAGCAAAGCGGCCCCTGGGTCCTGTGGCCTCTCAAGTATGAAAAGCCCAAGAGTGGCGGCGGGGGGACAGAGTTGGGATCGACCGCAATAGGGAGATGTTAGGACGTGTCGGCCATCAGACATGAGTGCCTCGGGGCCTTGAGCATCAGAGCTCGCTGGCACCACTGGGAGCAGCCCCACGGGGAACGCCTAGGCTCTCGTGGGGCAAGAACAGCCCTTGAAAATGCCACTAATGCACACACGACGGTGAGGGGGGTGGCGGTGGGGGTAGGGGTCTCCAGGGCCCATGTTGACCTGCCGTACACTCCCAGCACACCCAGAGGTCTGGGCAGAGAGGCAGGGGCCCCTGGGGAGCAGCGGGCCCAAGGCCACCAAGGCCACAGTGAGCAGTGTACGTAGCCAGGGACTCAGAGGTCCTGGAATACGCAGCCCTGCCCTGGCAGAGATGCAGTCTGACTAGGCAGGGGGGCCCCAGGCTGCTCAGGGTGAGACCTGTCTTGGCCTGGGAATCCTAGCTGCAGGCACGCGGCGGTGCCCGGACACGTGCAGGGGGCACAACAGCTCTGCCCGCCCACTGTGCCTCAGTTTCTCCACCAGCAAGTGAGGCTCCCCATAGTGCCCATCACACAGCACTGAGGGGGAGCTGAGGTGACCCCTAGAGCCCCACCACACATCACACGGTGGGGGACACAGGCGAGAGAGCAGCAGCCGTCTGCCAGGTCTGCAGGCCGCCCCGGTGGCTACGAAGGAGCACAGTTTCCCAACAGCAATGTTGTTATTATAAGCAATCCTGGAATCTGAACTCGAAAGTACACATTTTGAATTAAAATTAAAACAAAATTTGATCTCCCCCCAATATTTCTAATTTTCTAAATGGATTCTCATGCAAAGAAACGTGATCTATACTGCTTACCACCACTGTGCTAGCCAGTGACTTCACAGCCAAGAGCTCCCACACCTGAAGACCACTCACTTCTGGCCTCCCCGAGAGGGCAGAGGAGGCAGGTCAATGTCTGGGGGGTCAGGGTCCCTCACCAGCCTTTCCTACTTCGCCCTTAAACATAAGCATTTGGGGCGTGTGCTTAAGATGCCCTTGCTGGGCCTCACAGGCCGTTGAGAGGGAAGTCGTTTTACGTATTTTTATATGTGTGGACACTTGCACACGTGGGTGGGGTGTGTGTGTGTGTGTGTGTGTGTGTGTGTGTGTACAGGGCTGCGGGGCTGCAGGGGACGGGACGCATAGCTCCCACCCCCCCATGTATATCACCACAGGGCAGGAGCCCCACCAGCTGCTGCCCCAGCCCTGTTCAGCTCCCACTACTTCTGGGTAACATGGGGCATGGTGTCTGTGCCATGGCTGAAACCAGAACTGCTCTAGGAAGAGCTAGGTGGTCCTAGGTTAGTTCGAATGCACAGTGGAACATTCTAGAAGCCTAAGTCACTGTCGTCTTAGATTCCTGGACCCTCGAAGGACAAAAAGTCCTAAGAGGGCTCCACACAAAACCTGTGGACCTGCCCAACCCATCCCTGCCCATGAGCTCCACCCCATCTTCCATCCTGGACACACACACACACACACACACACACACACACACACACCCTGGGAACAGAAATCAGGTTCATTTAGTCTAACTGCAGAATTCTTACTCCTCAGAGTTTGTAAAATCTACCCTTAACGCCTCATTCTTGAAGCACAGAATTTATTACCGACCTGCTGTTAAGTGTGCAGAAAGTCCCGTTGCACTGACCCAGGCTGCCACTTGCTGAGGGACTGCACGGGACGGGAGCCTAGGCTGTGGTGCCCACAACTGGGCACCAACCAACGAATGGAAGCTTCTGGCTTTTAAAAGACAGCATGTGTCAAGTCACCAAGTAAGCTCAACCCAGGTGTTTTTGTTTTTGTTTTTGTTTTTTAAGTCAGAAACCTTGTCGACACCAAATGATCAAGTAAGAAATCAGAGTGTTTTAGCTCAAAGGAAGGAACCCAGACAAAGGGATGCCAGGGGTATGGGCCCTTTCCACAGAGCACTTGGGAAATCTGTTGTAGAGACAGCAGCTCCTTTACCCACCAACCACTGGAGAGACAAAACCTCAACTAGTTCCCCACACTCCTGAGTCACCAGCCCGAGGCAAACGTAGAGCAAGAAGAGTCCCGGATCAAGCGCTCGTGTTAGTATCTGCCTTTGACGCGGCTCATACTCATGCATCTCTCTCTATTGGATGCCAGGGATGGGGGCACATTCCTAGCAGCTACCCCAGCAACCTGCCATCATCGTATTGGCTAGAAGAACCCAGGAAGCATGGCTTTGCCCCAAGCAGCCCTCCACGCACGGATGAAAACAAGGGAAATGTTGGCCAGGTCAGATCTCGGTCGTGGAGGCTCATCTTGTGCCACATGTGTCAAACAGATCCTGATGAACCCCTGAACAACTGTGGTCAAGGAGGCCAGCGTTCCTGTGCTTGGAACCACCTGGAACAGCACGGGAACCACCTGCTCCGCGAGCACACAGGTGTGACGGGGACGGTCTGGGGATGGAGGGTGGAGGCAACATCACGGAGGAGCGGGAGCGCCAGCAACTTGGAGCAGCGACCACCTGGACCAGCAGTTCATGGAGCTTTACGTGCAGAGCTAAACTCCCTTGAGTGGCATCCCGCCTTCTTCTGCTATGGCTCTGCACTGAGGACCAGTCCTCCTGCTCCTTGTCCCCGTGTTGTGCTTATCAGGTAAAACTGCAGGTGACACCTTCCTAGTGGAATTTCTCAGTAGAATAGGTCAGTTGAATTAAATTTTAACCCGGACAACTATAGTCAAACTTTTTTTCCCCATTAAAAACATACAGCACAGAACATTAGTCTTACATCTTTCTTAGTCTTAAAAAATATAAATATAGAGGGATAATTTGTACAGGATGTATAGGTATGTACACCTTTAATATGCACAGGAGAAAATCGGAACAAGTTTATGAAACTTGCACTTTCCAGACACCTTCCTCCTGGAGCATTTGGATGAGGCTCTGAGCCTGTGGGCAGTGGCCCGAGTCTCCGGAACCCCCATACCCATTTCCCGGGAAGAACCAGGTCTCCTGACCACTGGCGCAAGGTCAGGACAGGGTGGCTGGCCGGTCACAGGGTCTTCTCCACCGGCTGCTGGAGGCAGAGCTCGCTTCCGGCAGAGACAATGGGCAGGCTGTTCTCCAGGTGGTGGTTGATGAGGTGGCTGATGCTGTCAAAGACCCTATCTTTCGTCCGGATCTGGAGGGACACAGAGGTCAGGAAAGCATGACACACAGGTGGATGACAGAGGACACATGTGCTCAGAGCCAGCCAGGCCTTGGGACCTGGAGTGGCACCTCCCCGGGGGTCCCCACTCTTTCAGAGACATGTCTGCAAAGTCCCCCGTCATCGTCAGTGGCCGCTCAGTCCAGCGGGTCACCTGCTACCCACCTTCCCCAACCATCCTCCCCCCCCCCGCCCCCGCCACCTGCCAGTGTTTTCTCTCCTGCTCCACAGCCCCTCCCACCAGAGGGTGAGCCTGTCGGGGATGCAGGGGCAGCACCACACACTGCTGGCCGTGCGGCTCTGGAACCTGAACCATGACTGCCCACCAGCTTCTCCTGAGCAAGTAAACACCTAGGGGTGAGGGGGGAGGCCCACCACTTCCTTCTGTTCACTGGGCCTGTGCCCTGGTCCCTGAGCTGTTACAGGCCCTGTGTAGACTCCACTTGAAGAAGACAGATGAAGCCTGACCAGGAGCAGTCTCCCAGTCTGGTCTGGACAGGATCCCCCTGAGGCCTGTTCCTTGGAGGAGGGTGGGAGATGGGGCAGGAAGCCCGTGCCTGGCTACACCGGCTACCCTCCAGGCCCTTAGCACTCCCAATGGCTCTGGGATGCCCTGCGTGCCTGACCTCTCTCTCCAGCCTTATTGCTGGGAGCCATCCCTCCCCTGGGGCAAGTAGCCCTCCCCCACTTTTCCCTCAGGGACTCTGAGGGCACATCTATGCTCCTCCTCCCTTACCTGTGCCAGTATCCTCACCCCTACCCCTAACGTGACCCTCTTGTCTCTCCTGCTCCACTGGCCCACCAATGGGATGTTGATGTCTGAGCCTTCTGCCCTGATCTCATTCCTGCTCCAAGTCTATACCCCAGGTGAGCCCATCAAAGCCCCTGGGCCATATGCTCTGGGCTCTACCGACAAAGGCAACAGCAGAGGCTTTGAAATGAGGATGTTTCCCTCTCCTGGGGTCCCACTCTGAGGCAGGACACCATCCCCACCCATCTCTGTAAGCACCAGAGGGGCAAGTACCCACCAGGCCACAGCTCCCAACTCCTGGGCATTGAGCCTCACCAAGGAGGCAACCTAATGGGCACATTCACAAAGAAATCTTTTTGGGCATCTTTTCATTGAGGTTCTTTAATCCTCCTGAGTTCTTTAGAATTCTCACCCCAGAAAGATCCTGGGGTGGCATGGACAGGCCCCTTTCCTGGAGGTGAGGGGCACAAATAGCTCAGCTTGAGACTACCATTGGGGTGTTGCCTGTATGTTGACTTATTTTTCCTACTTCTTATGATTAACACTCATTTAAACTCTGGGGCAACAGGGTTGCTTGAGGATTTATGGCAGGGAAGTGTCTGGGACACGAGGGTCAACTTGGGCTCACATCCAAACCACCTGACTGCATTCAGGAAGCCCCATGCCCAGGCCAGCATCCCCAGGAATTCAGGAAGGGGCTTGGCCCCCAGTGTGTTTCATGAAACCCCCATGATTCCAACATGCTGCCTAAGCTGAGAGCCCAGTGGTCAGCATCTCTGGAGGACATAGGCTGGCTACTATAAACACACACACATGCAAACAAAGGCACGCAGAAGAGGCAAGTCATATAAATTTACTGCCTAAGGAAGTAGGCCAGTTCATTCCATTTCCATAAATACTTGCTGAAACTCGAGTCTGGCTCCTGCCCAGAGAACCTGCAGCCCACAGAGGTGTCTGTATGGACCCCCCTGCTATGTGGGTCAGAAAAGAATGATCTGAAATCAATCATCTAAGCTTTTACCTTAGGAAACTAGAAAAAGAAGAGCAAATTAAACCCATGGTAAGGAGAAGGAAAGAAAGAATAAAAAATTGGAGCAGACACAGAGCCCCAACAACATTGGAAACAGGAAATCAATAGAGAAATCAATGATCCCAAAGCTGGTCCTTCAAAAAGGTAAATAAAAATTCATAAGTCTCTAGCTAGGCTCAGAGAAAGTGAGAGAGGACACAAATTACTAATGTCAGAAATGAAAGAAGGGTTATCACCACAGATCTTATGGGCATTAAAAGAATAATAAAAGAATACTAGAACCAACTCTAGGCTCACAAATTTTATAACCTAGATAAAAATGGACCCATTTCTTGAAAGATACAACCTCCCAAAACTCTTACAAGAAGAAATAGATGGTTTGAATAAGCCTCTGTTTATTTAAAAAATTGAATCAATCATTAATAATCTGCCAACACAGAAAGCACTTGGCCCAGATGGGTTCACTGGTGACTTCTTCCAAACACTTAAAGAAGAAATTGTACCAAGTCCCTACAATCTTATTCAGAAGACAGAAGCAGAAGGAATACTACTTAATTCACTCTATGAGGCCAGTATTATTCTAATATCAAAAGCAGACAAAGATACTACAGGAAGAGAAAACTATAGACCAACATCTCTTGTGAACACAGATGCAAAAATCCTCAACAGAACATTAGCAAATTGAATCCAATGATGTATAGAAAAGATTACATACCATGGCCAAGTGAGATGTATACTGGGTATGCAAGGCTGCTTCTACACTCAGAAATCAATTAACATAATCCATCACATCATTAGGCTAAAGACAAAAAAAGCTGCATGATCATATCAATAGATACAGAAAAGGCATTTAACAAATTCAACCAATTCATAATAAGAACTCTCAGTAAGCCAGGAATACAGGGGGAACTTCCTCCACTTGATAAAGACACCTATAAAAATCTTACCACTAACATCCTCCTGAACAAGGCCAGGATGTCTTGTCTCACACTCCTTTTCAACACCATAGTGGAAGTCCTAGTTAAAAGCCAAAAAAGGAAATAAAAGACAAAGATAGCATTTTCAATAAATGGTACTGGAACAACTGGGTGTCCACATTAAAAAAAAAAAAAGCCTAGACCAGACCTTACACTCTTCATAAAAACTAACTCAAAATGGATTACAGACCTTAATGTAAAATGCAAAACCACAGAACTCCTACAAGATAACACAGGGGAAAGTCTAGATGACTGTGGTTTGGGTGGTGACTTTTTAGATATGCCATCAAAGGCCTGATTCAAGAATGAAAGAAATAGCAAGATGAACCTCATTAAAATTAAAAAATTCTGCTCTACAAGTAACAGTCAAGAGAGTGAGAGGACGAGCCAGAATCTGGGAGAAGATATTTGCAAAAGACACATCTCATAATGAATTAGTGTCCAAAATATACAAAGAACTCTTAACACTAACAACAAGAAAACAATCAGATCTTACCAAAGAAGACATGCAGAATGCAAACAAGCACATGGAGTGATGCTCTGCATCACATGTCATCACAGAAATGCAAATTAAAGCAACAAGACACCACTACACACCTACCAGAATGGCTGAAATCCAGAAACCGACAGCCCCACATACTGGAGGGGATGTGTAACAGTGAGAACTCTCCTCACTGCTGGTGGGACTGTAAAAACAGTACAGCCACTTTGGAAGATGGTTTGGTGGTTCCTTATAAAACTAAACATGCATGAGGGGCACCTGGGTGGCTCAGTCAGTTAAGTACCTGCCTTCAGCCCAGATCATGATCTCAGGGTCCTGGGATTGAGTCCTGGGCTGGGCTCCCTGCTCAGTGGGGAGTCTGCTTCTCCCTCTCCCTCTGCCTGCCATTCCCCTACTCCTGCATGCTCTCTCACTCTCTATCTCAAGTAAATAAGCAAAACCTCAAAAAAATAAACTACACATGCATGAGGAGGAAGGTGCTCGTGGCTAAAGCTTGAGGGTGGGGCAAGGCATGGGAAGGAATCCACAGGGCAGTGGGCAAGGGAGTGGGGCCCATACCTTCTGCTTCAGGCATGGGGGGCTCGACCTGCCTGCGGAACATTTAAATCAGGGGCCCGGGACTTAGAAATACCATTTAGAGATTGTATATCAACAAGCACACTCCACCAACAACAGAATAATTACATCCGTTCTCTTCCAAAAGGTCACACTAGCTTGCGCAAAGCCATCAGACAGTGATGTTTGCTGATTAAACTCTGGTTCCATTGCAACAAGTTGCACACTCAGACTCACTGCCCTTTGTCTAATATCTCAGCCTGGGTTGGACCCACCAGTAGACCCTCCACCCCCAGGGGCCCCAGCCCAAATACAACTAACCCAAGTGGGATATAGACTCACCCAGACACATTGCCTAGCCTCCCCCACTGATTTTAAATAAAAGTGAAGTTTGGGTCCTTTCTAGACCGAGTGGACACAGTTCCAGGTTCACATCAGACCCTGGGGGCTGCAATGCCAAGAGTCAGTCCTGTAACCTTGTATGCCAACTATTTACATCCTTCCCATCAACACCTTGCCCCACATGAGCACTTGTTTTCCCCAACAGCAGGTGGAAAATTTAGAAACTCACAAATAACCTAACCTCCCACCTTCAGACACTAAAAAAAGGAAGCTTATTAGCCCTGAAGCAAGCAGGAAAAAGGACAGCCCAAAGATTAAAGCAGAGATAAACAGAAAATAGTAATACAGGAAATCAATGAAGCCAAAAGCTGGTTCTTTGAAAGGACCAATAAATTTGAAAAAGTTGAAGGCTCACACTTCCTGATTCCAAAACTAATTACAAAGCTACAGTCATAAAAACAGTGTGGTACTGATATAAAGACAGGCATATAAGTCAGCGGAAAAGAAGAAAAGGCCTAGAAATGAATTCTTGCATATACAGCCAAGGGATCTTTGCCTTGGGAGCCATAACCATTCAATAGGAAAGGAACAATCTTTTTGATAAATGGTGCTGGGAAGACTGGATGTCCACATATGAAAGAATGAAGTACCCATAGCTAATGCCATAGGTAAAAATTAACTCCAAATGGATCAAAGACCTAAATATCAGACCAAAAAAATCTTAGAAGAAAACATACGGCAAAAGCTTCAAGACAATGAATTTGCAGTGGTTTCCTAGATATGGTACCAAACACATAGGCAGCAAAAGAAAAACCA